GTACTTGAGTGATTTTGCTGTTTCCCTGTGGTTGGCCGCCCCACCTGCTTGATCAGCTCCGAAGTGTACATAGGTGTCAGCCAGGGTGGATACACATGTGTAGTCCCACACCAACTGTCTACCCTCCTTCCATGAGTATATGGTGATGCCATCAGGGCGAAGTGCTGGGAAATCCGGGTTTTGGACCCCTAGGATGCGAGGTTCTCTCTCCGCTGGGCACCCAGCTGAGACGAGGCTTCTCTTGATGATGTCATTGACCTCGTTGTGTCTTGCATGCCAGCCCTTTGTGCTTCCGCAATGCAACCCATGCAGTCCGTATTGGTCTGCTTCCACCCTGTTGCAAATACACTTGTATTCAGTGTGAATTGGGGCACCAAGGCGGAGGGCCACTGCTACACGAAGGGATTCTGGATCTAGGCGCGTGCCCATTGCAGACATGGGTACTGCCAGGAGGAAGTCTCCTGCATGGGGGGCACGCACTGCTCTGAGGCGGGCTTTCTCCTTGTCTGATGTTGCGACGCTTAGCATGGCATCAGCTACTTTTTCCACTAGAGGGTGGTCCCAGCCGGACTGTTTGTGTTGTTTTGTTGGCTCTATAATGGTTGCTGGGGCTGCAAGAACATTCCACTGATTTGAACATTCAGTGAAAGCAGGATCGTGTATTCCTGCTGAATCTCTCAGGGTTGCAGGTAAAATATCTCTGACGAGGTCGTGCGATGCATGAGAGGAGGAAAGGAAGGCTGGTAGAGCAATTTGGGAGGCTGTGCGGACACCAAGGCCGCCGAGTCTTACAGGAAGGGTTGCTTGCTCCCACTGAGAGTCGTCCAATGGCAGGTTCAGGACTTTCACCAGCATGGACCTCAGAAGGGTGTCATACACATTTAACTTAGGGCTGCTGTAGGATGGAGAACATCTCAGAAAGTAGGTCAACTTAGGGAGAGACAGGCATCTTGTAAGGAGAAAGAGAGCATCATGGGCATCAATCTTGTCAATCCTGTCCTGCATTCTCTTTAGGTCAGTGATTTTTGCAGCCAGGACCTCCTCGATTCCTCGTGGGCCAATGGGGGCACCCAGGAGAGTGCAGTCCGGTGGTTCGACAACGAGAATGTCTGGAAGAGCATTTTGTATTTGCCCAGTGATGTCTGGGTTGCGGGAGATTATTTCACATTTAGATGCATTGAGAATGAGGCCTAAGGCTGCTCTCTGCTCCTGGATTTTCCTTATATCCCCCAAAATGGTTTCCGGAGTTCCAGCTAGAGTGCCATCATCCAGGTACCAGATGTTTAGCTCGCTTGTCAGACTATCAGTGACCTCTTTGATAGCTAGGCAGAAAAGGAGGGGGGCTAAGGGGTCACCTTGTTGGACACCTTCACAGGAGTTTATTTCATGCCCCCCAAAAAGAAGCTTAGAGTCCCCACTGTAGCACGATCGGATGAATGGGTAAAGGGGACGGAAATGGTTGTGTACAGCCCTGAGGACAGCGTCTCGTCTGACTTGATTGAAGGCATTTTTGAAGTCAAGCTTTACTAGTGCCTTCTGGTCCGGGAGATCAACAATGTAAGCCCGCGCTGCATGTGCTGCAGCTTCACAACCTAGGGGAATCCCAAACCCGAGCTGATGAGGTTTCAGCAAGGTGGCTGCTTCCTGGCTGATAGATCTCACTGCAGCCTTAGCTACAAGGCGTCGGAGGGTGTTGCCAACGGCAATGGGCCTGATACCCCTATCCTTCTTCTTTAGAGCACAGAGTGCTGCTCCATAAAAGACAGGCCTGATGTCCTCAGGGATGCCGCCAGCCAAACACATGTTGGAGAATCTGGTAAGTTCCACTAGAAGGTCCTTTGCAGCATCTCCAAGCACCGGGTTCAGCATTTGTTTGATGTGCTGGGGTCTTAGGCCTGTAAAGCCCCCTGCTGAACCTGTTGGGAAAGACATGGCTGCTTTGTACACCTCAGATTCTCGAACAGTCAAGGGTTCTATGCCAGCATTGTTTTCCTGGGGATCCCTGCTGCTGTCGGGGGCTCTGGGTGGGTGTTTGTCTTGAAGAGCCTCTGCTGTCGTGGCGTTCCTGGGGGCAATAGTGTCATCGCTGGTCATGATTCTGATGGCACCTGTGGTATTGCCCTCTTCTATTTTCCTGGTGATCTGTGCTCTCATTTTGTGGTTCTCAGATGAGTTATTGTTGGTCGTCCTGCGGCTGGTGTCCTTGGCACGAGGGGGGAGGCGGACCAGGTTGTCTGCTCTGGGGAATTCATTAAGAGCTCTGATTACAGAGGTTGCTAATGACTTGTCTCTCCTGGGCGGTAATGCTAGGCATGCATTCCCAAATAGAAGGAGATTGTGCCATGCTCCAATGGTTCTAGGAGCATTGTTGACCTTTGTCAGCAGACTGGTGAGTTTGGCTGCTGCTTGATGACGGGCAGCCTTGGGGATGTGGGGCAAGGTCCTGGTGGACGTCGCTTTGATTGCTTCAAGCAGATTATCTGCTGAAATGAAGTTGAGGGAGGTATTGTTCCTCGCTCCTGCAGCAGGTTGTCCATCGTCATTGCCCCGGGGCAGGCGCCTAGACCCTAGACAACCACCTGAATTGAGAGAATGATAGCGGACAGTTCCATTTGAATTGAGACGATACCGTCTGTCACACACTTGACAGTTCCCTCTTGGGTGGCCATCTTCTTGGCTGGAAAGAGGCTGTGTGTCAGGTGCGACATGTGCCATGCCTAGATGTGATGACGCCTGGCTGCCCGCTGAGTGCACCCTCTCCTTCCCAGATGGAGAGTAACACGGCAAGCATTACCCTCCTGGGGGGTTGGGCATGGCCTGGGCACCGTGTGTGGGTAGGCTGTGTGTTGATGGGCGGCTGGCTGGGTAGGGCGCAGGTAGCGGGGTGGGGGAAGATGGCGGGCAGGGGGGTGGTGGAGGGTACTGTACCTGCCTCGCCATACACAAAGCTCAGACAACGCACCTTTCAACGTTCATAGTGTTGGAATGAAGGAGATACGGTTCTTCTTGTCACCCCCGGGGCCTTCAGCAGGTATTCATACCTACACAGGTCAAGTCTTGGCTGGCTCAGGCATCGTGATCCTCGTTGAAATTGGTTCAAGTGTAGGACCTTGCTCACCACGTGTCCGTCCCCCTCCTCCGTCCTCAATATATCCTCAATATATCCTTGGAAGATATATATATATATATATATATATATATATATATATATATATATATATATATATATATATATATATATATATATATATATATATATATATATATATAACTGAAAACTCACACCCCAGAAGTGACTCGAACCCATACTCCCAGGAGACATGCAACTGGTATGTACAAGACGCCTTAATCCACTTGACCATCACGACCGGACAAAATGAGGTGATAGCCGAGGCTATTTGAACCACCCCACCGCCGGCACTCGGATAGTAATCTTGGGCATAGCATTTTACCAAATCACCTCATTCTTTGGGGCACACGTGAGGAACACAAATGCGAACAAGCCTGAATGGTCCCCAGGACAATTTTGGTCCCTGAATGCCTGAATGAGGTCCCCAGGACCTCATTTTGTCCGGTCGTGATGGTCAAGTGGATTAAGGCGTCTTGTACATACCAGTTGCGTGGCTCCTGGGAGTATGGGTTCGAGTCACTTCTGGGGTGTGAGTTTTCAGTTGCATATTGTCCTGGGGACCATTCAGGCTTGTTCGCATATATATATATATATATATATATATATATATATATATATATATATATATATATATATATATATATATATATATATATATATATATATATATATATATATATATATATCACTAAGAACTCTTTGACCCGGCCAGGATTCGAACCCATGCCGTCCAGGATCACCCCTAAACGTACACAGTACCGTGACCACCGCACCAATGATCGTCATAAGGATTGGTCAGTCATGGCGCTTATTAACTAAGCTCCCTGACTGACCAACCCCCGACGACACTCATGGATTCATTTGGGTACAGTTTTTCATCAAATTCTGGCGCATGCACGGGCCGCACTGAGTCTAACATGTGTGAGAAAGCTGCATGAACGCACAAGCCATATATCACTAAGAACTCTTTGACCCGGCCAAGATTCGAACCCATGCCGTCCAGGATCACCCCTAAACGCACACAGTACCGTGACCACCGCACCAATGATCGTCTATAAGGATTGGTCAGTCGTGGCGCTTAATAACTAAGCTCCCTGACTGACCAACCCCTCCTCAGCTCTCTTCTGCCTATTTATTGCCTGTCTCTACCTCCTCATCACAATCGACTTGAGAATGGTCCAGGACGGACCGAAACGTCGTCGTCCCTTCAACTTCTAGTATGTGGTCTGGTCAACATGTACCCAAACTCATTTATATATATGTTCTGAGCTTAAAACAATAAAGTGATCCTACTTATGTTATGCGGTTATCTTGAGATGATTTCGGGGCTTTGCGTCCCCGCAGCCCGGTCCTCGACCAGGCCTCCTTTTTGTTACAAACCCCGAGGAAGAAGCCCGTAGCAATAGTTCAACTCCCAGGTACCTATTTACTGCTAGGTGAGCAGGGGCATCAGAGTGAAAGAAACTCTGCCAATTTGTTTCCGCCTCCACCGTGGATCGAACTCGGAACCTCAGGACTACCAATACCGAGCGCTGTCAACTCAGCTGTCAGGTATTCTTGGTATTCCTGTACCCTTAACCTTGCATTTGGGTGGATTAAAATCCAGCAGCAATTGTTCAATTCATCTCGGGATGTGTCGTGCTTTTCTTGCAGATGATCTCCCCATCTGTCTTGCTTTGAGTCCTTAGTTTTAAATCGTGTGAAGACATAGATATCAAATTTCATGCCAAGTAGTTCAGATTTTCTAGCAACAAAAGATCTTCATCCGAACCTTCAGTTACGAAACTGGTTTGTGTGTAAGTGTTTGAGTTTATGTTTGTGTGTGAGCATAAAAGCAAGGAACAATTCAGGGGATACTAATGCCATTAAATGTGAAATAGCCATAATTTTATTGGAAATTATTCAATTTTGAAAATTACTACAGGCAATTTTTTATTCAGAGAGCTTAGTACCATTTCATTTCCAAACATTTTTTTTCCTTAGCCATACCTGCGACCATACAGTCCGCCACCATGACCACCAATGCCTCCTCCGATGCCTTTTCCACCTCCAAATCCGCCTCCAAAGCCGCCTCCAATGCCGCCTCCAAAGCCACCTCCAATGCCGCCACCAAAGCCGCCTCCGATGCCATGGCCACCTCCAATTCCTCCACCGATTCCTTTGCCGCCTCCAAAGCCGTAGGTAGTCTTGGAGCTTACGAGGCCACCGATGGCTGGGATGATGACTGCTCCGTGACCCTTGCGATAACCACCACCGATGTGTCCGCCGCCGATGTGTCCACCGCCGATGTGTCCACCGCCGATGTGTCCACCTCCGATGTGTCCACCTCCGATGTGTCCACCGCCGATGTGTCCACCTCCGATGTGTCCACCTCCACCTCCGTAGAGACCACCAGCACTGCAGCCCACCAAGAGGGCCGAACTTACGGTGATCAAAAACAGATTCTGAGGAAGGACAATATACACTTTAACAACAAACATTGTCAACACGTCAATACAACAGTATAAAGATTATTAAGTAATGGTAATGTCTTCTCACAGACTTAATAACAGGATAAAAGTCTCATTAGCCGCGTTCCTTGGGGAATGAAGAGGGTTACGAGGGATAGCATCCAGATGAACAACTCTATTTTTCAAAGACAGAGTTGAAAAAGATAGAACAACTTTCTGTTATCCTATCAGAATTACAGAAAGGCCACCTGACCATAATTACATAGAAGACATTACTATAAGTGCATCTGCGGTCTGGAATTTAGGTGACCTGATCAGGAGGTCAAGAAGGTTAAGAGGACTGGACTCAGGAAAACAGCATTGTTATCCAGCAGCACCGAGATAATATACAACTTATCACAGAAATCCTGCATATAGTAAAAGAAGCCTCAATCTAGGGCTGTTAATCATCCTAAATTGCATACCAAGTCACATTGCCATAGATGATAATAAAAAGGCAGACTCGCTAGCAAAAACTGTCACTGTTCTTCCTGTTGTACAGGTTAAAATCCTTCAAGTTTTTCACAAATTAAGGAGAAAATCAAGAAGAAAATACTCCCAACTATCAAAAGTAGCCACAGAGCCAAAATAGCGGAAATAAGATCCATTGCGATGTGGTGCCAACAAATCACTGGATACTACTCATTCAAGCCTGACAAAACGATATCCAGAGGCATTACAATAGCCATACACAGACTCAGACTTGGATACAAGTGGTGCTGGGAGGTAATAAACCCAATAGTTAAAGAGTGTCATATGTGTGGAAGAGATGCAGAGGCGCCACTATTGCATTACTTACTGGAATGTGAAGCAACTGAAGCCCTGCACATCAAACTCAACATTTATCTAATGAGACGAGCTGCATTAGATGTAAAATCCACAGCGACTATAATGGTTAGAAAAGCAGTTGAAGAAAGGGACACCCTAGTGAACACTGTGCATCTATATCCGCACTAAGATAATGTTTTTAAAACAAGACGAAAACCGGTACGCTAAAACAGAAACGGAAGAGAAACGGGAGAAAAGGAGGGAACCCCAAGACCATTAAAAACTTTAACCCAAATATCAGAGTAACAAGGTTATCGCGAATAACCGAACTCATTCAGGGGTTCACCATAGCCCGTAATTGATACATGGAAATATACACGGAAACTTTCTTCTGAGTAGCAAACTCAAAAACAACAAACAACAGATAGCAGCCTCATTAGTCGTCGAGATGTAAGTCTCGGCCTAACCACACACTCAGACCTTGACAAAGCGCTCATGAGAGTGGGAAAGACTTAGTATAATTTCTTTACATAAACTTCACAAACACACAACTGTGGATTTTTATCCTATGAAGAGTACTGTTGAGCTCGTTCACAAAAGTTATTATGCACTTCGTTATTAAACATAATAACCGGATCCAAGGATCCAGACCGATGTCATTAAGTAGAAGCTCACCATGATGTTTGGGAGTCGATAAGCGAGATGTTGACTGCTTGTGTGGTGCCGCCGACGCCTTATATACTGGTCGCTTCCCTCCGCCCCCAGAGCACCGACACAAGGCCGCGGCAGTGTCGCTCAGTTGCTGACCCTGACGGAAGGAGTAACCTAGAACACTACGTTTTTGCTCGCAGGGCTGGACCCATCGCCCCATAATGGCAGTTCTGTTCCGTGATGACTTCCTCGACATTAATGACGCAGCTTCACTAAAGGTAACGTTCACCGTCGTTACTTATTTACAGTAACTAATTATAATGTTCTTCATGCGAACAGGTATAAACCACTGTTGTAGAGAACGTTCAGCTGTACAGTTACACCTCATCTCAAGACCTTCATAACTGAGGAGTCGTGATAGAGAGTAACTGTAGAGGTCGGTTGATGATGTACATTATTTTCCTGGAATATTAGCAATATAATTATATATATATATATACATACATACATATATATATATATATATATATATATATATATATATATATATATATATATATATATATATACATATATATATATACATATATATATATATATATATATATATATATATATATATATATATATACATATATATATATATATATATTTATGTTTATTGTTTTATTATTTTTTATTATTTTATAGGACAATTCAATGTAACACAAAATAAATCAGAATGAAAATAAATCGCATATTTAGAATAGTGTGTGTTGCTCTTACGTGCAAAAGATGGCGCTGTTTCTTAAAAAATTTTTTACATGTCACAGGTGTGGCTTCTATACTTATACTTATGAAATGAACAGTATGGTAAACAACACAGCTCAATTCCAACGATATATATATATATATATATATATAATATATATATATATATATATATATATATATATATATATATATATATATATATATACATATATATATATATAACACATATTTAGTCAAATACGTTTTGCCAGGCGCAAACGTATCACACAGTCGCTCTCCACCTCCCCCCCTCCCTCGTCGCCGATCACCAAACTACCATTTCCAGCCTGCCCGCTTCTGATTGGTGAATCGACGTCTGCACCACTGCACCTCTGCACCTCAGTGCCATCTTCCTAGCCGATGTCTGGGCCTGCACCAGCCATTGGAGTCAGAATATCCTGTGCTCTCAAGCTGAAACAACCATCTGATATACGCTCTGTCTATTAGTGTATGTTCTCAGCCAGCACTTTATTCTCAGCACCTGTTAATTTCATTTTGTCTTTATCCATTTTAGAGTAACGTCACCACTATATTATTTTTATGCTATTTTTTGAATTTATAATCTTGTGAGTTTGCACTGTAAATAGCCAAGGAATTGTCTTATTCATAATTTGTTTTAAATTTAATTAAAGTTTCATTGTTAATACTATTTGTTTTGCTTGTTTTGCCTTACTTTGCCACAGGACACAACAGCTATGCAGTCACCTATTTTTTAAATGTGATAGGCCATTGAGCAATTGAGAGGACTGCAGAACACCTACACTTCTTTTTTTTCCATCACAATAAATATATATATATATATATATATATATATATATATATATATATATATATATATATATATATTATATATATATATATATATATATATATATATTATATATATATATATATATATATATATATATATTGTATGGGTTCTTGTATGCAGTAATTTCTGACATTTATTTAATTTATTGGGTAAATAAAAAAACATAAAAAATACGGCCATATAATTAAGCTTCTTTAGCATTAAGATATATTCATTATTATTTCAAAGGATTAGAATTCAAAATATATTGGTAAAAATTAATATGATTTCAATGCAAAATATTATAAATAATCTTTGACACATTCGTGTATCAAAATTAGGATATAGAGTGTTAATCATTTTAAATTTTATTATTATATATATTTATAAATGTCGACAGCTATTATCTTAATTACTTGTTTTCCAAACTCATTTTTATAAACAAATCCAATACTTATTTTTATTTTAATTTAACGAACTTGAGCTTTAACTGTCAATAATACCTACCCCTAAACCTCCTATCATCGTTGAAGATTCCACAGTCTGATGCATCATGAACCAGCCCGTCCTGCTAAGGTTTCCCAACGTCAAGAAACTGTCGTACTAAAGTGACCGTATCCTAACCTACCAGAGGTCCCTAAACAGAACACGGGACAGTATGTCAATTTCCCGAGCCGCTTCCATTTTCTAGTACGACGATTTTTGGCTTTTGGGAGAGTAATACGTCAAAATGCGACGTGCTATTAGGAGGGCGGGTTGCATCAATTTAGTACCATTTCCTCGTAACAACCGTTTCAGCTATGAATCGTAACAGCCATAATTGGTTATTTTCATAACTAACTAAATTTTTCCACAGAACACCACCCGCATCACTATTCCCTACATCCTTTATCACACCACTACTGGACAGAAATACCTCAGCACCGGCTACTATGTCTCATGCACACTAGTTTCTCTGTCAGCTATCTCACCCTGTCAGAGTAAAAGAGACAAATGTATGTGAATGCATGTGTGTGTATATATATGCATGTATATATGTATATGTACGTATATATGTGTGTGTATGTATATGTATGTGTATAAAGTACATATGGAAGCTGATCAGAATTGCATTTCACCTTTGTAAATGCACATTAATGACACTTCGAACACTTTATGTAGGGCATACGCAAATCTGTGTATCTATGTATTTACGTATGTAGGTTAGCTTAGCATTTTAAAAGTACCGAATCACCTTTTGTGGTTGATTGTTCAATAAATCCCTGAACTATATGTTTAACACATCTCTAACCCTGTCTATGGAGGACAGAAGAAAATGTATATATACTAGGTAAGCATTGTAAATGTGTGGCCACGTTTGTGGTAGAAAATAATAATAATAATAATAAAATATGTCTCATCAACACAGTACTCGCACAGAGACACTCACCTTTGAACTTTAACAACCTCCACCATAATCATGACCCTCAGTGTAACCAGCTGAGCAACTTCAGCCGTCGTAGCGGCTAGAGATAATATCAATTTCCATCACTTTTATAGACCGCAAAAGCCACATTCACCCATGACAGTGATCTCCGCTACCACACTCATCCTTACCATTGACAACATTACGGTAGATAAAAAAATTACGCTATTATAAACCCATCTTCATAAAATGCTAGTACTTACAGCAACTTTTTGTTCGAAAGTACCGATATGTAGCGATGTTTCATCAGCAAACACTTTTATACTATTAATTTCAAAGTCCGGATTAATAAAAAATAGCTAAAAATATATCTAATAAATAACTTTAATATATCTAAGCCTAGTATCGTGAGGTTATCTTGAGATGATTTCGGGGCTTTTAGTGTCCCCGCGGCCCGGTCCTTGACCAGGCCTCCACCCCCAGGAAGCAGCCCGTGACAGCTGACTAACACCCAAGTACCTATTTTACTGCTAGGTAACAGGGGGCATAGGGTGAAAGAAACTCTGCCCATTGTTTCTCGCCGGCGCCTGGGATCGAACCAAGGACCACAGGATCACAAGTCCCGCGTGCTGTTCGCTCGGCCGACCGGCTCCCTGTATAGCACCCTGTATGTGTCTAGTATAGCACATATGTACCATATTAGGTACATATGTGCCTAATATGGTACATATGTAATATCCTTAAAAAGCGTGTATTAACCTTAGGATTGCAAGGTGGCGTTAGGTTAGGTTAACACTTTTATTGAATGTTGCGGTTAAAAAAGTTTCCGGTTTGTCAATATTCAGTAATACAAAATTCAACTTTCTGGTGATCCATCACTACATATTGGTACTTCCGACCAAATAGTTACTGTTACTACTTTTTTATGACAATGGACTCTAGTATATAATATACTACTCTATTCTCACAGCAATCGTTATCCCTGTGACGTTTCAGTCAGTTACAGGAATTACAAAACTTCATAACCAAAGTAACTGCTGTTATCTTTACTAACAATCATATCAGCTTCCGACACTTCCATAACAATCTCGACTTTCTCCACTACTTCAAGGAACAGCAACATTCACCTTCACAACTACCCCTCAACTCTCTCTTACATCAATAACTGCCATAGTTACGTCTAGTACCATAATCAATCATTGTTACATTCTCAGGAGCTACAGATACAGCCACCGTTACTACAAATTGCGAACCCCACACTAAATGTGCTACATTATCCGAAGCCTCTTCATATATCCTCATTAAAGCAAGACATTTAGCTATTATCATGATACAAAACAGCTAGAGCAACAATCACACTTGTAAACCACAATAACAACAATGCGTTTAGTACCCACGACGACCATAGTCGCCTTTACAGACATAGTTGCTGACCTCACTACATAATACAATCAACAACCTAATCATTATTGAATGGAAACGACAACCACAACCACAGTCATCAAATGAAAAAGAACGCACTCAAAACAACATTGGGGGTCTCACAAGGAACCAATATCTCCTTATATATCACTTCACAACCAATTACACTGCGAACATGATATAGAGAAGCGAAATAAACTGTTTACCAGGTATATAATTATTCAACAAAGCACAGGCACTACACAAAGATGGTCCAGATACCTTGTGACGTTAATACACATCACAAAGAGATAATGACGATTTTTTTAAAGTACAATATGTACCTTGGTGCACCAGCCCACACCAAGAATCACCTAATAATGCAGTTTTTCTTGTACACGTATGGTATTGAATATGAGAGAAAGGATGAGATAAATGATTTTAACACGAATCTTCTCAATATTTCTTATGTACCCGCATACACTCTGGTGTAGTAAGCATCAATCAGTCTCAGGAGACTGGAGTTGCGCTCTGGAGTGGCCTCTCCAGGGCTCAGAGCCAAGGTAGGTTGATACGAGGGAGAAGCTGTTACCCAGGCAGCAGGTCCCCCGTAGCCACGTTCTGAAGACTACCTACACTCTGGTGTAGGTATAGGTAATGCAATTCTCCATCAAACGCTCCTTCAAATACAGAAGAAAATTCCATTAACGTGATATATCTCCGAGAGAAGCACAGGAGCAGGACTGGGATGAACTATGTAAAACTTGGGTTGGCCATCAGCTCGGTGACTCCAGACTCCTAGTATATCCTTACGGATCTCTGGTTATGTAATCTTTAGCATGTTGTGGCCCAGGGGGACGGATAGGCAGAGAGAGACGAACGGAGACTCGGGGATTTTTGTTGTTGTTTATAGATTCAGCTACTCGGAACAAGTTCCAAGTAGCACGGGCTATGGTGAGCCCGTAGTGGACTTACCTGGCACAGGACTGGTGCCGTGACTCAGGGAGAGGAGGGATGTTTAAAAAGAGTGAAGGAGAGAGAGGGAGATAGGTAGAGAAGGAGGAGATTGGAAGAGATGAGCAGGAGAGATGTGAGAAAGAAGGATGTTGAAGAGATAGTGTGGAGGAAGAGACGTGGTGATAGTGGAAGGGAAAAATTGAGGGAGGGTGGAAAGGAAGGATCATGGGGTAGAAAGTTGGAAAAGGAGAACATAGTAAGAGAGGTGAAGAGGGAGGAGAGGTGGAGAAGAAGAAGGAGAGCGGAAGTTTGCTGAGAGATAAGTGTTCAGGCGTGTATCTTCCTAAAAAAGAATTATGAAAAATTTTCTCCAAAGTTTATTTTACAGTATGAATTTAAAAGCATTATCTTCACTCTAAGTTACTATAGTCAAGAGCGGTAGAGCTCCATTGCATTTTCCAAATGAATAAATAGAAGAAGCTAAATAATTGTCTTACAAGATCATTAAAGTCTAGGGAGTCTGGCCAGAGACAGCACATTCTGTCCTGCCTGTTGGACTGAACCCGCAATCCTCTGTTACGAGCTGAGGAGTAAGACCACTGGACCTCAGCTCCCAGTGTATGTGAGTATACATGTACGGGGCCAAGATATGCTTGTTTAGAAGAACTCTATTCGTCGTCTAGCCTCCCTGAACTTTCTGGAGTTAGTTTCATCCTTAGTATATTAAAGTCGATTAACTTATTGAAAAGTTGAAAACTGAAAACACATTTGTGTCTCTAGCTTCTATGTCCCTTCGTTCTGTTGGTCCAAGCCTTGAACAATTCGTTCTTCTTTATTTTGTAAATATCCCTTAGAATCTAACATGTAGTTATTATTTCTCCCCTATTCCTTATTTACATCAGTGCTTCGTCATAAGTAAAGAGGCGAAGAGGGTGTGAAAAAGATTCTGGTAGGATTATTTGAGGATATTTCTGATGATTTCCTGGCCATTGGCGTGTCTGATATTGGCAACTAATGTCTTTCTCTTGCAAAGCACTCGTTGTTTTCTTTTCTAAGGAAACAATCTGTCTCACCTTCCTTCTATTCCGCTATATTTATCTTTTCACTTATATTCCTGTACTCATAACTTTGAATTTGTGTGCGTTAAATTCCACCAACTATTTTCTCGCCAACCTCTGAAGAATGTCATGACCTTTTAAGCAGAGTATTGCAGTCCCCAATCTGAATTGATTTATTCATTAGGTATTGCATTGTATGAGAACTTTAATATGTAGAAGCCAAGTCCATCAGTTTACAATTTCTACAAACAGGATAGGTCATACAACTACCTATTCAGTCCTCCACTCATGTATGTGTGCGTTTTAAAGTAAGGAAATATTTAAAGGATAAAAATGTCATTAAATATGAAGTATCAATAATTTTATTGAATAATTTTCACTAGGTAAAAGCCTTTTTTTATCCAGAGAATTTAGTAGCATTTCAGATCAAAACATTTTTTGTCCTTATCCATACCTGCGACCATACAAACCGCCACCATGACCACCAATGCCTCCTCCAAATCCACCTCCAATGCCGCCTCCAAAGCCACCTCCAATGCCGCCTCCAAAGCCACCTCCAATGCCGCCTCCAAAGCCACCTCCAATGCCGCCTCCGATGCCATGACCGCCTCCAATACCGTAGATAGTTTTGGAGCTAACTAGGCCCCCGATGGCTGGGATGATAACTGCTCCGTGACCCCTGCGATAACCACCACCAATTCCGCCATGTCCTCCTAGATGACCACCACCTATGTGTCCACCACCGATGTGTCCACCGCCGATGTGTCCACCGCCGATGTGTCCACCGCCGATGTGTCCACCGCCGATGTGTCCACCTCCACCTCCGTAGAGACCACCAGCACTGCAGCCCACCAAGAGGGCCGAACTTACGGTGATCAAAAACAGATTCTGAGGAATGACAATATACACTTTAACAACAAACATTGTCAACACGTCAAGACAACAGTATAATGATTATTGTTGAGCTCGTTCACAAAAGTTATCATGCACTTCGCTATTAAACATAATAATCGGGTCCAAGAAGCGGCAAGAGTATTGTTATTAAGTAGAAGCCTCACCATGATGTTTGAGAGTCGATAAGCGAGATGTTGACTGCTTGTGTGGTGCCGCCGACGCCTTATATACTGGTCGCTTCCCTCCGCCCCCAGAGCACCGACACAAGGCCGCGGCAGTGTCGCTCAGTTGCTGACCCTGACGGAAGGAGTAACACAGAACACCACGTTTTTGCTCCCCGGGATCGACCCATCGCCCCATAATGACATTTCTGCTCCGTGATGACTCCCTCGACATTAATGACGCAGCTTCACGGAAGGCAACGTAAACTGTCGCTACTTATTTACAGTAAATAATTTTAATCTACTTTATGCAAACATATTTATATTCGTATCTGTACTATATAAGAGAATGTTGACCAAACTACACACTAGAAAGTTTGGTCAACATATTTCAGCCACGTTATTGTGACTATTCACCTGAGGAATCACAATAAGAGATTGTTTGCCTGTATCTGTCTGTCCAAAGTTGGAGGCCAGAGAATATTCTGGGATACGAAACGGACATAGGCTGATCTGGGTAGGCCTGAGGTAGATGATTTAGGACATATTATTAGTCATTCACCCCCTTCCCCCAGACCCGATTCATCAGCAAAAATAACTTTCCTAAACTTTGCAAAAACTTTATTAACCCTCGTGTTCTTGACTACATCCTTAAAATGCACAGAAAATTTGCAAGTGCAGGCTTCTGAACACATGGCCCTGTATGGCTAACCATCCTGTGTGATAGGGAATTTTTAGCATCACGTAGCTAGTTCTTGACACACTCTGTCTTCCCTTCACATGGTCTAGGACAGCTGCACAAATAGTGCTGCATGTACCTAAATGTGTGACTAGAAAAAATACTTCCTGAAATACATTAAGTAGTTTCATAGGTTCTCGATATTATAGTTTAGGAAAGGGATGAGGTGGAGATGGAGAAGGGAGGAAGGGGGGGGGGGAAGGGCGTGATGTGGATGGGGTGGAGAGTGGGGGGGGGGAGGACGATGGGAAAACGAGGGGGAGACTGAAGGACGTAGATAGATGGACAGAAAGACCGAAGAGTAGATGGATGGATGAATAGCTTGAATTTATACATGGATGCATAGATGATACGGATGGAAAGATAGATGGATGGATAGACGGATAGATAGACGGACAGATAGTTGAATAGAAAGATAGTTAAATAGATAGATGGATGGATAGATTGCGTCTTATCACAAGACCTTCATAAGTGAAGGAGTCGTGATGTGGGAGTAAACTGTAGAGGAGGTTAATTTACACATTTTTTTCCTGGAA